AAATGGGCTGTGCAAGAAGAGCATGAGCAGCCCTAAGTTTACATTTTCCATCGTGTGAATCACAGCGGGTGCTGAGCAGGCATGAGGGAGATCCTCGGTCATCAGGAGTGGGCTGATGTAGTGGGACTGGATGGAGCAGATGTGAGACACAGGATGCCATGGGAAAGCTTTGCCTCAGTGAATGGAGCTGCCCTCTGGCTGTACTTGGCACAGGGCTCTGCTGAGCTCTGCTGGGGCGGGGGGTGGGAGAAAGCAGCTTATGGTACCCAGGTGCTATCCCCTGTGTTGGATTCAAGGCTCCAGTGGACACCTAGTTCGTGAAGGAGGACAAACACAAGGCTCATTTGTTAACCCCTCATTTGTTAACTCATTTGTTCTCTAGCTCCAGTGTGACACCACAGGTAGAAGCAAGTTTTGCCCATGCTTTTCTGGTCTGCACTGAAGGTAATGGGGATGTTGCAGGGACATGGCCCAGGTCATCTTCTTCTTGACATAGCCCTCACCTTCCCTGACCTCTCTCCTCAGTACCAAGCAATTTCTGGAATATTAGTGACACACGTGAAGGGGGACTGAGACAGCACTTCATAACACGTTAATGTTGTTTTTTGAGCACATCCATCAGGGAGGAAAAGATGGAGGCAGTGCCCTGCTTTTCCCCCCTGCAGAGAGCAGCAGTGCCCCATGTAGTGGCCAGGCTGGTCCTAGCTCTGTGCAGAGGTGATGCTCAACCAAACCATCTTCTAGCTCATCTGTTGAGGTTTACACAAAAGGCATCGGCCATAGCCGTGTTCTGTACTGCTTGGCTGCGGAGTGTATCCATCTCTGTTTACCTCTTCAACACTTCAGAGCTCAGTGGGGTTGTCTCTGCAGGAGGAGAGCAGGGTTTGCAGCACACTTGGCAACATTCGAGACATGAAGTCTGTCACTTCTGGGGAGTGGTAGGATGGTTAAAGTTGATGTAGGGATGTAGAAGCTGGTGGGAGAAACAGGGAGGTAGGAACAAAACATAATAGCTTAGTACACCCTCTTCACGTGGTTTCTTGGGCTTGATCTTAACTTGTGCTTCTGGGCATGTTGCTTAACACGCCCAGCTATGCTTCAATTAACCTGGCAGCAAGACAGTTATCATAAAAAATAGAGAAGTGAAATCCTGATCCCAGTGACGTAAGTGGAAGTCGTGCCATTTACTTCCCTGGGGCCATGATTCCATCTCATATGTCATATAGAGGTGTTGTGAGGCTTCCATTAATTATGACTTTGATAGAGCTTTCAGATCAAGGGAGGAAAGGGCCACGGGACTACAGAGGAGGATTTATTATCCTTATTAACAATTTCCTATGGGATTGTCTCTCTGTTAATGTTTGAACACAGCTCTTCAGAGCAGGGTAGGGCCTTGTATGTCCCTAACAAAAACAGAGACCTATGGTTTCTATCAATGATCCAGTATCATTTCCATAAACTAAAGCATGAGGTACAGCTGAGGTTGGTGAAGGTCGCTGTGGGAACTGACAGGGAATGATTCCTACACATGAATCCCATTGTAAAATCAAGCTTATGGAACTGGAGAGGGAAATGTAGACATGGCAAGATCTAAATTTTGCTGGTAGCATCTACTGCCTGTGGGGATTTGGGAGCTTTCAGTCAGGTTGCAAAGCTAGAAGGAGAATATTGTTCATACTTTTTTTTTTTTTTTAATTATTATTACAAGGCACAGCATCTCTTACTTTGTGTTGGAAATTCTTTGGGTGTTTAAAAATATATATTTAAAAATAATATCTGCCAGTTTTCAGCTTTACTGCAGAGCATCAGCAGGGATTCAAAAGCATGTAAGCTGATTAATAAAGGGTAATATATTTGACCAAAGGACATTTAAAGGGCTGTCACATTCTTTTGCATATTCCTGCATATTTTCTAATTTGTCTGGGTTTTTTTCCCTTTATGGTTAATTTTTGTTGTTTTGCTTTTTATTTTGTATTTCTAAGGCAGCTGCAAAGATCCCAAGTTAGAAGTATAAAACAAATTGAAACCTTCATAATACCCAATCTTCAGGCTTCTTTTTGCAGGCAGGACAATTAAATATACAGACTTACATGCATTAGATGAAATGGGATATTGCTTTATCCAGTTCTTTTTTCCAGTGTTCAGATATGCTTGGCTCTAATAGAATTAGGTGATCTGCTGTGTGGGTTCTTGATATCTACAGTAATTAGATCCAAACTGCAGCTGAACAGCTCTCTTAGCCACATTGTAATTTCTTTGCTCAGCTTGCATTATTTATGGGGGAGAGTGGTGACCAGATTGATCCCCCGCCATCTATCAGAACTGCTCACACGACTCTGTAACAGGCAGTGTTATTTAAAAATGAAAACGGTGACAGAAGCAATTCCCAAGAGCAGGGAACACCAAGGTGACATTTTCTTGATGTTAAAGTTTAAATGGAACAAATCCATGGATGGGAAAGAGCATCACATGCAGCTCCCACAGTGACACCTAGAGCTGGCCTTGCAAAGGACAGGGTTACCCGGAACTTTCAGGCTGAGGATGTATTCTGTGCCCTGCATCAATAGAATTATTTCCTATTCATTTTCTTCAGCATAAAGGGATAGCTCTTAATTTGATTTAATTCACTGAAAATTTTCTCCTGCCATAAGTAGGAGCCTAGAGAGAATTGTTTTTCCACAGAGCACTGAAACCCAGTTTTCAGAAGCAGCACATGCTCAGGCAATTGCACATTTCCTTCGCCTTTCATAACTGTTTACTGCATGCATAAATAACCACAGTTAGCTATTTTCTTGCCTATTTACAAGGTGTCTGTGCATAATTGTGGTAGCACTGTCAGCAGCTGAACAGCAAACATGGCCTGGTGCATTGTAGAGACAGTGTGGGCTTGATCTTGCTTGTACTATCCAGAGGAGATATGCTCTGGGATTGCTGTGAGCAGAAGAGGCTTTTGTGATTCCTGTGTTTAGTTGGGTTTTAATTTTTGATGCTTTAGACTCTTTGGTTGGAAAGGTTTGGAAACATTACCTGCCTGAGTTAATTTCTGAACCTGTGATGCCTTCATTTTGTACAGGCAGTAATTAGAAAGCAAGCACACAAGATTATTCATGCAGTGCATAAATGTGGCAATTAACTGAGGTGGACTCTGTTTCAAGTCAGGAAACAAAGAAAGAAAAAGCCAAGATGCTAAATATTGAACCTAAATTCCTGTGCTAAAGGAAATTTTAAAAAATCTCATCCAAAGGAAAGGAAAAAGTGCTCTTGAGAACACGTGAAAAACATAATGAAATGCAGCACCATTGATTTACTATATAAGAAAACTGAATCTGCCAAGAGTCAACAGATTGATTTAATGTACAATTCCAAATGAAAAGAGGGGTCTTGAAATGTTCAACAAAGCCTCTGAATGATTTCACAGATCTCTTCCTCTCCAGAAGTCTTTTACTCTCTTGACTAAACCAAGAAAGGCCTTTAAAAACAAGTTAGCAGAATTGGCTGAACAAGAACAAATTAAGAGATGATGAGGGCTTGAATTTGTTTTGAAATATATTCTTAACAGCTTGAACAGGGGCATGTTTCTAGCCTGGGGCAGAGGCAGAGGGAACAGAGACTTATTAAAGCCATTCACCATGTTTATGTTAGATTTAAACTTGATCTATAAATAGGAATCCAAAATGGATCTGAACGTCCTGTTTTTCAGATGTTGCTGCATCCCAGGCTTTGACTGGATCTCACTTCTCACGCATTAGCATTGCAGAATTAAACACATTTTAAAATGTTTGTTGGATTCTGACCTGAAGCCAGGTTCAGAGGTCTTGTTGGGACTTTCAGTCTCCATCAGAAGGCCACACATTCTAGACAAGCCAGTAGGATGAGTGCTCTTCTGCAGCAAAACAGAGGAGCTGGAATGCCAGATCAGTTCAAATTCCAAATCCTTTTGGATCTGATCCCTTGGGCAACATTGGGTCTCTCTACTAGGGGTTGGTACCAGGGGCTTTGGAAGAGAGAATCAGATACTCAGTAGCAAATAGTTATGAAAATATAATTGAGAGATGATGGGTAGTGCATCCTTAACATTGGGTGGTATCTGTGGATAAAAAAGGGAATTTGGGTCTTGTGTTGGTTGAGGGGACAAGGTGGGCAAGTAGCAGACATAGCATGTGGCCATGATATCAGGCTCATAGATGTAAATGGAGCAGGGATTGGTTGAGGCTTGATCCAAAGTCTATCAGAGAAAATACAAAGAATCCCACCAAGTTCAATGGTCTTTGGACAAGTTTCTAATCCCACAGATACTCAAGCAAAAAGATGTCTCAGGGAAATTTTTGCAAAGCCTCCTAAAATTAGGAAGATTTCTATTAGCATCTGAAAGCCCTTGCACTGGGTTAACAGGAAAGGCTAAAACGGCTTTCAGTTTCCTTCTGCTTTGTGGGGGGGGAAGAAAGACTAAGTTGCCTGAAGAGAAAAAGTAATGTTTGTATTTGGGATTGGTTTTAATACCGTGTCAGCACATTCAGGAACTGTGCAAGACTTGATTTGAGGTACCTGCTGGGAGCTAGCAGGTTTATAAAGTATTTGACAGAGCTGTTCATGACCTGAGATGTTTCAGAGTATTCAGAAACCTGAGCACAAAAAGGGGAATTCAGAGTGTGACAAGAGTTTCCCTTGGAGTCAGTACAGCCACACTGCAAGGGCTTCTTAAAAATAGCTCAGCCTGCTGACTGTAGCTGTGACAGACTGCCATGGTGTTCAGCCTCCAGTTTCTTGGAAAATGTGTATATGCTGCTTCTGGGTATTATCAGTTCTTCAGAAATGTTCCTGTGAACAGTAGGTGAAGGGACAAGGGCATTTCTAGGTAAGCAAACAATGTTTGTTCATGATAAGCTCCTGGAAGATGATGGGGCTCCTACTGCTTGGCCATAATGGCCAGAGGAAGATGTTTAACTGAGGTCTGAGGAGGAAAGGGAGTTCCTGAAGGAATACAGCTCAAAAAGGAGAAGGAAGTCAGTAGCCAGATGTAATGCTACCTTAGGACAAGGGAAATAATCTGATCTAGAGGTCTGAATAAATAATCTCCAATGAGATCTGCTCTTTTCTGGCATTGCTGCCCCCAAGATTTGGGCACCCTGGACTGCTCCCAAGTCTTCTTAGTTTATAGATGCATGAAAGGTTTTGTTGAATTCAAAAGGACAGTCTAAGCTCCAGTGTTTCCCTCTCTGCAGGGATTTCAATGTTAGACTCTAACTAGCCAGGACATGGAGGATGGCTTTGAATCCCCTCCAGCCTGGCCAGCACATCTGCAGCACTGAACGAGCAGCCAAAGTGGGAATATCTGCATGTGAGTCTGGATGATGAGTGGGGAAGCCAAGGTGGAGCCCAGGCACAGGTTGTTGTTTGTGATGCATGTGGTTTCCAGCATGCCCTGCTGTAAGGCACAATGGGACACTGTTCTCACCAATGTCATCTGCTGTGTGGAGGTCCAAAGTTTAGTCCTAGCAGCAGTTTGGGAACAACATGCCAGCAAAACTTGTGTTTGGTTGAGGCTACTATTGCAACCAATTAAGGCAATACAATAAGATGGAGCTCAAAAGACCAGGGAGATGCTTTTGTCTTAGTGCAGCTCAGTTCCTTCTGACAGGAAGCCAGGCCTTTGTGTCTCATGGAAGAATTATTCTGAATTGTTAATCTTGTTCATACATTTCCCTGCTTGGTGATGACACACTCATTGTTGAGTTCAGCTGCTAACAAAATCATTATCTGTTGAGTGGCTTCAATTTGCTGAGAAACAAGTACCCTTCGTGGATCTGAAACTTTCTGCTTTGAAAAGTCATGCTAGAACATAATTTTTTCTTCTTTGCATTGATGTGATTTCCCAAATGCTTGGCTTCCCAGTCCTACCTCAAAATAGGCTCTACCCTTTCCTTTTTGCTGATGGGATCTTTGCTATATTTTGGACAAACACGTCTCAGAGAGTAGAGGGAGCCAATATCTAAGCCCTGAGCTCCTCAGAATTGAATGAAGAAGCATAAAATGCATACATTTTAGAAAAAAATATTTGGCCTTCAGCTGCCTGTTTGCTGTACAGACTAACCAGGAGTGTTTCCAGAGTCCATAGCTGGGCTGGTCCTAGGGCTATAGGCTTTTGACTGGAGGACTGCTGCTTCTCATTGCCTTCAGGCTCTGGGTTGGGTATAAAAGAGTCTACAACTCCTTCTTCCCTCAGGTGCAGATCAACTGCACAAGAGAAGCAAGTTTAATATGAGAAACCCATGTGTTTCTGCTTTACCTGTTATTTAACGCCCTTTAATTTCTAATTATTTATTTGTTCCTTTGGGATAAACTGGAAATGCAAGAGAAGGCTGGGGTCAGCAAAACAGCAAGACAGGAGAGATTTTATTCTAAGGGAAGGATAATTATGCTGACCAGATTTGCATAGTGTTTTGTTGCAAAAATATAGATTGCAAGTGCTGAAAGAGAGCTGATGACCTATCAGTAATAAGGCACAGAGATAAGTAATTAAAAAGATGTGCAGCTAATGGCTTTGGTAAGACCTAAAAAATGTACAAGCTATATAGGTGGAAAAAGGGCAGCTCTAAGCCAGAATTTACAGAACAAGGTAACTTGACATTTATGTAGTTCTGCAGTTGACACAGGTTTTGCCAGAACTGTAAAAAAAGGGATTGATTATCTGATTATTTGTAGGAAGTGTTTTTAAAGGACTGAGTCATCCACACAGACATGACTGCTGTGGCTGCTTCTCCCAGCAGAGAAGGGAATTAAGGAGTCAGAGTGTAGGTCATTTCATTTATGCAGAGCAGTTTTGTTTGAGGTTGTAGAAAAGTAGCTGGTTTGCCAAAGCATATATTTGTATTTTCTAAGTAACCTTATAATCAACTAAAATGCATTTTCATGAATTTTTATGTGAAAAAAGTTCACTTTGACTTTAGAAATGCTATAATCTGGCTGTTAACATTATATTGTCCAAACTGTTCAGACTGGTATGAATAATGTCAGTCTTAAATTCCCATTGGCCCTCAACTGGGAAGTGAGTTCATTTAACATTTGAGCAAAGATGTCTCTCAGTGTGTAGGGTGGCCTGTGGTCCCTGCCACCTCCTGGTGTCCTCTCCTCCCTCCTACAGAGCCAGCACAGCTCTGCCCTTGGGTATGAGCCACCTTGGGATCTCTTGGATGGATGGGCTTGGATATATATCCCTTGTGCAGAGAGGAGATGAATTTTCATTATCTCTACCACTCGGTAGCTATTATTAAAACCATAGCAGAGATCAGAGATTGCTGTGGTATCTGCTTATAGTTTTAATTAAGGAAATGGCCACTGCACATTGGACTGTACATCCCAGCCACAGGTGTCTTGGAAAGCACCCCATCTCCTTTCCCAATGTGTGTCCATGTTAAGAGAAGTTGAAAAGCAATTGAAAGTGGAGAAAACAAGCCTGCACTGGTCTGTTCCTCTACATGGTTCTGCTGGCGGCCAAGTGAAGGAGACAAAAGACACATCATTTGTCAATGTACAGTCCATTGTCAGTCCTGGTCACCAGCTGAAAGCCTTCCTCTGTACTCTGCACCTGCTGAATAACCTGTTCTCCTGTGATGATTACCCTGCTTGGTGCTCAGGTACCACAGTGTTGAATCCAATACAGAGCAAAAGAGAGAGAATTTTGTTTCAAGGAAGCTGAATATAAGTAGATCCACATATACCATTTTAAAGCAGGTTTTTGTTGTGTTTTTTTTCCCACAGCGATGAAATCAGGAGGTACCCAGCTGAAGCTGATCATGACGTTCCAGAACTATGGACAAGCATTGTTCAAACCAATGAAGTAAGTGAGAAAATTGTGTGTTGCACAGAGAAACCATAATGGAACAGCCTGGTGCCATTTTCTAAGCCGTTCAAAGTTTGCTGTAGGGTCTCTCCAGGTTAGTGTGTCTGGTTCCCTGGGCTGCTGCTGCATATAGAGCTTCAGGGGTTGTGGAAACCTTGCCCTGCTAGACTAGACTTTGGAGGAGATGCTGAGGATTCAGATACATTACAGTCTACTCAGGAATGTTATTCACTCTGATCTCTGTGAAATCTCCCTTCATAAATACAGGATGTTTTCAGCGTTTCTTTCTTATGTAAACTTACTGCACAGGTCTGAGCTTTATCTGGTGTCAGTGTTCTTCTGGAATATATCCAGACAAGAGAGATGGTTCAGAACAGCTTTGGGGAAAAGCTAAATAGTATTTGTCTGGAAAATTATAATTTAATCAGTTGATTTATTGTTGTTTGTATTAAAGGGTTGTACTAGTCATTTGGCTGTGGTTGTGCTGACTCTGTGAAAATGAGTTTATCTGAGAGTGGTACTGCAGGGTAATGAATCTAGAGAGAAAGGGAAGGGCTAAGATGATGCAGCCTTGATTTGTGCTTGCCCAGACCCTGTTGAGATGAGGGAAGTTATTCAGATAGAAAGCAGATATAAATGAGTTCTGAATCCTGACCTGTATGTTTGTGTTGTAGTAAGAAAAAAAGATTCTGTGCTTATTGTAGAGAGTTTGGCAGACACTTGGGCCTGCAAAATGTTTAATGAATCTGCTCAGTATCTGTGTCAAGGGTACCACTGGAATAGTAAATTAATTTCCTTCTTTTGTTCCTACTGTAGGGAAGTTCAGTTATTCAGTAATTTCCAATAAGATGGTCCATAGAAGACTAAAGTAACTGAGAACAAGTGGTTTGGAGTATGTGGTGTTGTTTCGTGTTCCAGCTATAGTTGGGAGCACAGCTCAGGGGGTAAGGTGCTGGCTGGAGACTGAGGAATCCCTGTTTCACTGTAGACTGACCTCAGACAAATAAAGATTCGGCTTGACCTTATTTGACTGTCGGAAGGGCCAAACAATTTGTCCCTCTTTCCTTCAGCCCAAGTTTGGGCAGAAACCTTCCTTATGTGCATTTGTTCTGGGAATCACAAGGAAATCCTATGAACTTCCAGGCAGCACGAGGCATTTGTGCAAAGGCCAAATGCTTCTGTGTTGTTTCCCAAATTGCACACAAATTTCTCCATGTTTCTGATGGATCACTGAGTGCCTGAGGAAGGTCAGAGAAAGCCCAGATAATACCGACAGGTCAGAGAGAAGGTGGTATCAGAGAACATCTACTCCACCATCCTCCCTTCCCCTGTCTGCCCTCTCCCTGAATGCTCAGATCATCAGTGCATGTGTCCAGCCCTTGTACATGCAACACGGATGGATATAACCACAATTCTTAATTGTGTCCTGTCCCACGTGTGAAATTAAGAACCAGGAGGGTTTGAGCAGCCTTTAAGTGCTTGGCAGAATCGTGGTTGTGCTGCTGGCTTTTTACAGAGCATGTGATTTGTTGCTTCTTCATGTGTTGAGATGCAGATAATCTCAATCTTTATCATTGGTTTGACATTGTAATTCTGGGAATGCTAATGAGGTCAAATCAAAAGTTTACCATTTGTCCTGTGCTATACCCAGCCTTGGCAAGATGATGGATGATGAGAGAGGTACAGCCACGCTCCTCTGTAGAAACAATTACTACCATCCACTAGAACAGTAACAGAAAATGATGATGTCTTAATCATTCCCTTTGCTTGATTTGAAGGGCAGCAACACCCTAATTTCTCACTGCTCCTACACCATGGGAAAAAGCAGCATTAGAGCATTCAGCAGCTGTGCTCCCAGGCACCACACCTTACAGCAGCAGCACTGCTGTCTTTGTCCTGAGCATCACTGAAGACATTAGTGATTTTGAATAAGGATGTTTGTGAGCATTTGTCTTCATTTCAGTAAGAGTGAACAGGGAGCCAGATGCTCAGCCAGTGTAAATCTTTCTGGCTCCTTTGGCATCTGGTCCCATTGGCCTCTTTCACCAGCTTATGGACTGTTGTTGATGAGGTTCTTGGCGGCGTTTGCTGCACCGTTTCTTTATACAAAAATAAGCAGCCTGAGACTACAAAAAAAAAGATATTACATAATAAGGCTTTTTAAGCTATTTCTTTATGAGGCTTTTTCTATGTAGGACATTCTTCAAGCCTCAGACATCTTCCAGGCTGTTTCTGGTGCTCCCTCTTTTTTTGCAGGCTAGGTACCCTTCTGATCCAGGCTTCACAAAGCTGGCTGCACCTTCCTGGGTCGGGAGGCTGTAGGGAGTTCATAAATCAGGGACAGACACCTTTTGTCATCAAGACTGGTGAAAAGGACTTTTTTTCTTCTTCTTCTTTTTTTTTTTTTTTTCTTTTTTTTCCCCCAAAAATAGTTTAACTTGAGGACCATAAAGTCCCATCTGGGAAGCTACTTCTGAGATCAGCTCATTGAAGGAAGCCCTTGGCGGTTAGTGAGGACATCTCCATGTGGTGCATCCTATGCATTTTCATTCTTCCTGTGTTATCAGCTCTATGGCTTTTCAAAGGAGGAGAAATTAACTTTTATTTCTCCTGAGTTGATAAGCCTCTTTATTCAATCAACCTTTCTCATGAACCTGAGGTAACACAACTATTAAATAATACTGAGTGCTCAGCTGCACGTGAAAGCTGGGGCCTCAGTTCATGTCCTCAGTGCTGGAGGAGGCAGTATGAGCTGCATCTCTGTTAAACTGAACTGAGCCACTGTTTTTTAGAGACTATAGCTGGCATCAGTAGGATTTCAGTTGATAATCTTGAGTTTCCCACCATGTCTGGGATCCAATGTACTAAAAGCTGAATGGTGTTGAGGTATGTAGAGGGTAACAGGCAGGCATGGGGTCTGTCTCTGCCTGGGTTGGATTCATTTGAACCACCTGGAAAGCTGTTTTTGCTATACATAGCTGTACTCAGTGTCTTCCAAACTGAATCAATACCTGTTTGAGCAGGGTCATGGCAGACAGGGCAGACCACACAAACCCTTCCCTGACACAGCTGGCCATCTGCTAGCAGAAGGGCACATCTCCAGGCCTTTGCCAGTGGTTTCTGCAGGAGTCACAGCAAAACATCCCTGGCAAGTTGCTTGAAACTCTGCAGAAGTCATCTGACTTGCTCTGCCCTTTCCCAGCCTCCCAAACCCACACTGAATTTATCCAGGGAGCAAGCCAGCTCCAGAAAGCCCAAGGCAGGATTTGGAAATGGGGAAACCAGAATCTGTCTTTGGAACTTTTTGTGCTCAGTGTTTGACATTAACTGACAACTCTTCATCTGGTCATTGATTCAAGCTAGTGGAGTAAATGAGAGGAGGGGAGCTAAACAGTCAGGGAAATGTGATAGCAGTAAATAAAGCCTGATCAGCTGCAATTATTTTATTTATTTGTGGCTCTGCGTCTTCATTTCTGAAATAATTGCCCATAAAGTGTTGCAGAGGAAGCCAAATCTATTTATAAATCCTATGGCCTAGTGTAGATTCCTTTGCTAATTCCAAATGCATCATAGAAAAAGCGAGTACTTGCTAAAACTCCAGGGAAGATTTAATGTATTTGCAATGTATCTTACAGTTAATGTGTAGTTTTATTTAGCTTATAACAGTTCAATCATGCAAAATTATTACCATATGGGACAGGGAAAAAATAACAACCTCCCCTTCTCCCATGATTAGTGTGTCTAACTGTGCTAGTATTGTACAGCATAATAAAACTTATTTACTGATCACTGATATCTGCAGCCAGAACTTTCTATATGACTTATCAGGTAGGAATGGTTTAGAGCCATAAATTTCAAAGGGTTTTGGCTTGTTTGTCCAAAAGAAACAAGCATTTTACAGTTTTATTTGCTTTCCATTTGTTTCTACTAGCTGGTGGAGTTAAATAGCTGGCTCAGCAACAAAACCAACACACTATTTTTTTTCCCTCCCAAGGCTTTATTCTGGAAAGGAGAAATTCTGCTCTAGTAGAGTCAGTTTTAGGATTCCTGGTGCCAGGATTTTGTGAGGGATTTTTACAGTTCCTTATGGAAAAGCCAAATAGGATTGAATAGAAAATGATACCTTGTTATTGGAGTTGTGAGAAAAGTGTCCTGTGGTATGTGTTTCAGCATGACAATTCTCATTCCCTGTTTTATAAGCTGCTTTGTAGAAATGTGTGGAAAGGGTATGCATTATAAAATCTTTGAGGTTTATTTGTTCCTTTAAAATAAATACTACTGTATCCAGTGCACTCACTTTTGACTGAAACTGAGATAAAAACCAGTTCTTTTCCAACTTGAGATTTTTCTGATATTTTTAACATCTTTTTCCTTCTGTTTTCACAAGTCACAGTACAGGACTGGTAGGAGCCACACGTGTTTCCTTCATTAGCTGAAGTTCACAGTTAAAGGATTTAATAAAGTAGAACCAATTAACATCAGGGTGATATCAGGCCAGATGAGACTTTGGGGGTTATGAGATCCAGTCTCCTTGAATCACAGGTGATTGTCTCACAAAATCCTGGTTGTTAACTGATCAAACATTGCTGACCATGTTGTTTCAACCTTTTGGCCTTGCTATCCTTCCTGAAACTCACTGCTGTAGGAGTAATGGTACCCACTGGGAGCACCTCCTGGTTCCTGCAGCCCTCAGAGACATGACACATCCCAGTGCCAGCCACTAAACAAGCTCATAGTCACAATCTAGTACAAAGCTAGAGCTCTACAGAATAAAACCTGCACACTCAGTGCTCAGCTTCTGTAATGTTCCCATAGCATATTTTTTGGCTCAAAGACATGGGCACTGTTAGCTGGGCTGAAATCTTGCATCTGGGGTCATGAGGAAGAGAGTATTTTTGTTTTGATTGACAAATTACAGCTTTTACTGGCTTTTAGATGTCATCCCTATAGTGACAAAGGATTAGCAATGTTCTTTAAGTTTCTCTTTTATTTCCTTT